GCAATTTAAAATGCAGAAAGTGTAATAGTGTTTTAGTTTTTTTTTCTAAACCTAATCTTGGATGTAATGGAAGTTATGTGTCATGGGACTAATGAACCTTGCAGATGCCATGAAGAAGTCCACACACAGTAAGGGGTCACTACCTAAGATGACACATGTACAAAGCCCCGCATCGTTTATTTGAACAGCAACATTTTTCATCAGTGTTTTAACATAGTCAAAAATTGCACTTAAAGAGTCATCTGAAGTTGGATTATTAAAAAATCAGACACAATCATGCAAACGAATCCTACATCATTATATCCAAATCTGTCAGCCTCCAGCACATGCACCAAAACATTTACAAAGGCCAGGTTATCACACTGCAAGTGAACATGTCTGACTTGCTGAATAGACTGTTTTCTCATGGTAAACAGCTGTCTTAACTTCTTTTTCCTAATTAAAGGAATGAGATATTGATCCTGTTATCTTTGGCAGAAAACTAGAAAACTGGAGTTGCTTTCTACCTTACTGTTGTATTTTTTCAACAATCACTCAAGTTGAAATCAACAGCCCCGTGTGTTTAGACACAAAAAATATATGTAGTGAAGTAGGGGTGGGCGATAGAAACGATATACGATAGAAACGATATAAATTTGGCCAACGACAGAGATTTAAACTATACCGCTCTATCGCGATAGCACATGTTGATGATGTCATCAAGCTGCGCCTGTTTTGGTCGAAAGCATCGCAGCAGCTACAACCATTATCATCTGCAAATTATGCCGGGCGTCAGTAACAGCAAAGAGATGAAGCACTTTTGAAATATGGGGAAAGCCAAAAACTGCGCTTCCTCCACTTCCGTAACATTGATTCATTAATGTTGAATTCTCTCACAGCTGCTCTATTCCCATGTTGTTGCAGTATATTAATAACTAATGAATTCCTGTTAACTTGTAACTCCGTTAAATTTAATAAATTCTGTTTTCATGGATGCATGGATGTTAAACTTAATTGTTACACCTGGTAAAGCAGCAACGCTCATGATTTAATTAAAGATGAAAGAATTTAGACCGTTTTTAACTCTCAGTGTTCGTTTGACTTTGGGACCTGAA